ATCTGCCCTCTGGGTTCCCAGATGTATCACTTTGCATTTGGCTGTATTAAATGCAGCCAAATTGAATCACAATCATTTGACCAGGAGATTCGGCTCACTCTGTAATCGTAACCAGTCTTGGTGATGTCTGCTGAAACTTTATCAGCAAGAATTGTATATCATCACCCAGGCCGTTGGTAAAAAATCTTTAAATGCCAAACCATTGGGGAATACTCTGTCATATTTTCCATGCATCTCTAAAGGTATCCTGATGATTGGCATTTCCCTCCTAAAAAAAAAAAAAAAATGCACCTGTCAGCTGCTAACAAGATACATAGGATATATGTATTATGGGACTCCTTTTAACAGAAGTTTTTGAACTCAGAATTTCACCTGTAGTAGAGAAGTTCAAGAATCCTATGTTAAACTATCTTTGTCACCCTGCCCCATAATCCATCTACTTTCTTCCTCCCCCCCAGAATGTCTCCCAAACAAGTTTGCTCATTCCTAACCTGTGTCAAAAATATACTAATGCATACACTGGTATGAGTTATGTTCTCAGCACTTTTTTTTCTATTATTTTATCTATTATTTATTATTTTTATATCTACTATCTATCACTTTTATCTATTATTAAAACGCTAAGCAAAAAAATTCATATTTGTGGGATCATGCTTGACCTAGCCTCTGTAGAATGCCTCATGTATCTGAAGTCCAACTTCCTAAGGAAATTTTCTTTAGCCAGACCTGGACACGTTCATTCCTCTCTGGTAACATTATAAGTGATTAGCCTATTTGAACTAAATGTCCTGTTGAGACTAATGTTCCAGAGATGCTAATTATTAGTGAGTTTTGTAAACAAGTTCCAAACAAACAATCAAAACAAAACAAACAAACAAGCAAAAAAGAGTAGAAGAAGGAGGCTTGCAGTAATGCCCCTTACTCAGCCAGCTCTACTAGATTCTAGAGACTTCATCTGAAAGAGGGTCTTGGGAAAGCTGGTTCCATTAGTCCAGCGTCATGGCATCAATGGAAAAATATCTCAGCAGGTTGCCTGTCTCTTAGAGTACTTCCATTTACCAGTTTTAGACCAAGTTTAATTTTTGGGTTTATACCACTTCTCAATTAGTCCCTGCAGTACTGTTCAGTGTATTGCATGTAGCTCATTACAAAAATGTCAGATTTTGGTAGATATGATGTCCTGCCCTTACTTTCAGTGCAATGGCACTGGGCTGTTAAGAAGGTGACATCCTTCTCTTGTGCTTCACACACAGAAAAAAAATAGCTGCAGACTGTTCCCACCTTTTTCAATAAATCTATTTATCTTTTCTTCCTTCCTTTTTTTTTTTTTCCACTTTTCCTGACTGGGATTAGTGAAAGTCCTACGTGTGTTGTAAAGTTTCTGTGTACCTAATAAGCTTGTCTTAAAAGGCTTATTTTCAACTCTTTAGACCACAGATATTTCAGGAATTCCGTTGGCTTCACTAAGTAGTTGACCACATATTTTAGCTTACAGGTATTATTTTACCTTATTCTGTTCCCATCCTTTGTATACAAGTTTTTGTCACTGATTATGCATATATTTGCAACATATACCTTATACATACATATATTGACATTAATGAGGGCTTCAAGATCGCATATTTATTATAATAAATTATTACTATGGCCCTAAAATGCTGCTTGCTGTTGTTTTCCTTAGTCTCATGCAGCTGAAGGTGTCAACTATCATTCTGAATATGTTAATACGTTAAAAAAAAAAAAAAGGGAGAAGAAATATGTATTTTCCACGGTGATTTGGATGGAGATTGAGAATATGAATTTTGCCTGGAATATAAATAGCCAAAATGTTTTCCATATTTCCACCATTGCATTCTACTCATCAAATTTTGCTTTGTTACTGTATCTCTGAAGATCTCAGTGTCTTTTCTAAAAGTCACTAAAACTGCAGTAGTGCTCTGAAGGATATCACAGGAAAGTATTACTCCCAGTTTGCAAGAAGAGATTAAAGAAGTTAAGCAGTAGTAGCTAAGTATCTTGATTTCTAGGCCCTTATTTTAATTACTAGGCAACTTGGAGTCTCCAGATTATGGTCTTGGAGCATCCTGCTACAGGTGATGTTTCTACGCTTGAAGGACATGTGTTCACTACTTATGTGTACTGAGTTATTAAAATGCTGATGTGATCTTAAGTTGGTATCTCATAAAAGGCACAGAATTTGCAGTTGTATGTTTGATGTTTGTAGTGTTTGCTGTTTTCTGTAAGATGTGGTAGCAGTGAGAGACAAACAATAGTGTACCTCAGTCAGCAACAGAATTGGAGTCCACAAATGAGAGTAGTATATGTTCCAAAAAAGCCAATTTTTGAGAGAGACACATCTTCCCACCTCAGTCTAACAACCATTGTCCACCTGGTAACAGTTTAGAAGAAAAATGAATGTAAGAAATCAGAGCGAGAGGAACAGAGAGGGGTAATGCCGAAGATGATTCAGGAGGGAAAAGCAACCCCTCCATAGCTTGCATTTGCCCTCGCTAGCCTTGTGAATGGTGACTAAGTCAAGGTTACGTGGAGATGTTAAAAAGATGAGACACAACACAAGAGGAAGCAGTGGCAGGATGAAAGGTTTGCTGAGATCAAATGAGAGAAATGAGGACTCTAAGGGTCAGTCCTCCCTCTTATGCTTGCAAGTTCGGGCATTGGCTGTGCAAGGAGCCACAGTTGACAAAGCAGGATCTGTTGAACGACATAGGGATGAAGGGCCTGATCCTTCACTCTTTTACACCAGCTTTGCATGCGTATTACCCCAGTGACTTCAGTGCATAAAGCTGGGAGCAAAGGAGCAGCGAGTCCTCTGAACAAACTATGTAGGAGTACTTAACCCCTACTGGGTGGGTCACAAACCCGTGATTACATTATTGCTCCCCAAGGCCTAGGAATACTTTGGGAAGATTTTAAGAGCTCAGCATTTAACCATTTATTTAGCTTCAAAGGAAAGAAATAAAAGGTCCTATCTTTGCAAACATTTCCCAATAAAATTCAAATTCTAATGAGCGAGTTTGTGTTTGCTGCAATCCCTGTAGATTTCCAAATGTTTTTCACTATCTGAAGAAACTTGGGAAAAATCAGCAAAGCTGTAATAGCAGAAAAAATCCCAGGGAATATTTGGAAGCTGTGCAAAACTCCCACAGGGATAAGGGATGTAACCAATCCTGAAAGACGATGAGGGCTGTATGCAAAGCTGCATAATGATTACATACAGCCAATGTGAGATTAAATTCTCCAGTAAATTCTTTTTCCCTCTACAGACCACGCACTAAAGTAATTATGGGTACCAACCAATGCCTCTCAAAACTGTATCCACAGCTTGGACAGGGGAGATTTGGAGGTGAAATGTCACGTTGAATTTAACGTGACTGTTCTGCTCAGCTCTGCACTCTGTATACATACTAAACAAGCAGCCAGTCCATTAGCAATATTCCAACCATAACAGCAGCAAGAGATGAAAGTGTACATATAAGCAGTATTATCACTAAGCAACTTCATTATTAGCTGTTTGGTTAATCATTATTTGGTTACACTGTGTAGTGCAAGGTGGCACCAAAACTTTTGAGATGATGTTAATCAAAGCCAGAAGCATGAGCCAGTGCAACGATGCAACTGGACTGATTAGTCCTACCAAGAGCCTGGGCTGAGTCACAAAACATAATGCTGCACTGACATGGTCGTGTTGTTTCTGGGCTCTGAACTGGTGTCCCTGCATGCTGAGAGGAAATGGCTGTTGATGGTGCTCTGAGCAAACTGGAAGATGTTTAAGAAAGCACAGGTTTGCACTGTGTGGGCAGACCCTTTGTAGCAGATTCTGTAGGGTCTTGCTCCCATCAGTCACAGTACATAAAGACTTCAGTGGTCATGAAAACTTGTGTTTATTGGGAAGGGAAGAGTAGCAATCTTATAAAACGATTGCCTTTAAGCATACTTCTGTTTTTTTGTTTGTTTGTTTGTTTGTTTTGTAAAGGTACTGATGAAAACAAATTAGTTTCATGAAGGTGCTCAGGCTATTCACTGTGACTTGAAAAAGATCTAGCAAAGATGATCTCTGCTTAAGAGTAGTTGGTTTTTTTGTTTGTTTGTTTTTTTATCAAGTTTATTTTAATTAGAAATAAGATGTTCTTAAGAATAAAATTTTAAATTAAATATTGAACCTGTTATCCCCTGAGCAGAAAGTATGCACAAACACAAGCTCTAATATAGAGTGATATACTGGAAAAGAAGAAATTGTTTTAATTTATTTTCAAATGGTTTTCAGTTGAAACCACACCCTTGTGGTCCAAAAAATCTGTCTGAGAGCACCTCCAAAACAACAATGTGTGTGTGTGCAAGTGCATTAATGAATTTCTGTTCTCTGTGAAAGAAGACTGCATGTCTCAGCACTCTGAATAAGAACAGAGCATTCAACCCCTCTCCATAGCAAATTCAGCCTTCAACAAGTTAGTTCTTCCAGGGATGGCAGTGATGCAAAACTGCTTTGCAAATGTTTTTCTGGGTTTTGTTGCTAGGTGATGACTTGGAAAACTTTGCTATTCCTGCTGAGAGGTTTAAAAAAACAGCCCTCACATTAAAGAGTATAAAAAATAGGCCATCTTGCTCCGTAACTCCCATTTCCTAACTCCTGGAGTCTGCACCCTGTGTGCCTTCTCCACTCTCATGCCCCTCTCCCCCCTGCCTCCGATCTGTTTGCCAGAAACTGGAGGCCTGAAGAACCACTTCTATTACAGTGCAAGGAAGGGAGACAACATTAATCTTTCGATCCCTGAACAAACTAAGCAATTCTACAAGTGTGCATTGATTTATACTCACCATTTCTTCCTATTTCAATTTTACCGGGTTTTAATGTTATTAATCCAAACCTGAATCAATGGTTTCATCGTTGATTAAATAGTTGCAGGCAGATTTTCCTATGGCAAGAAACAAGAAAGATTTGGGAACAACCTCACTGCAGTTTTTTTGTATCCTGTACATAGGTTGGATGCAAAAGCCCTTGAAAGCAACTCTGTCACCTGCAGAGCAGCAAGGAAGCCCCTCAGGCTGGTCTGGTGCCTGGTGGTGTGTTGGTAAGTGGGGAAAAGATCTAGATGTGAAACTGTGAAATTAGGTAGAAGCTCAAACAGTGAATCCTTGGGGCATTTTTAAAGTAGTCCTGTTGGATGGCGGGGGGAGGGGGGAGTGTATTTATTTGATTCATTGTTGATTTTTTATTTTATTTGTGTTTTTGTGTGTGCCTGTTGGGGCATTTTTGATATCTTATTGTCCAAGTTTCCAGAGATGTAATCTTGGATTAGCATGTGGCTAAACACTTAGAAGCAATTAGCCACTGCTGTTCTCCTAGAAAGGTATTTCTAAAATCAGGTATGAAAGCCTTGTAGTATAAACTGCACAGAGGAACAAACCTATATTTTTTTTTTTTATGCATTGGGTCTGAAACAAAATATACAGTGGCTAAATCTTACCATGGTCAGAAGTTTTAGGCAGAGGAGCAAACACCTGTTTCCACCAGCCAGAAAATAAGGATAACTTACATTTGTAACCTCAGTTTACAGTCTGGCTCAGTTGGAGCTTAATTCTGTTTTGTCAGGTTGGCCAAGAAAGAAGACCCCAAATCTCATTTCCAGAGAGGTTCTTGGCATTTGACACCATTGGATCTATTGAAACAGTAGCATTGCTTGAGCGTAACTGGCACTGTACTAGTCCACTGAAAGATATAAAGCCAAGAATTTCAGGCCCTAATCTTGCAAATCCTCACATATTCTTTTAAAATTTATTCACATGAGAAGTTCCCTTGGCTTCAGAGACACCACTTGTATTCATGACATTACACGTGTGAGAGTTGTTGAATGCTGAGGGTCTAAAAGCAGGAGAACCAACAAGCCTCAATGTCTGACTTGCATTTCCACTACTCAGTCCTAGAAGGTTTTTGGCAATTGTGGGTTTGGCTTTGCCACATGACTCATTTTTTCTCCCTGTGCAGCCTCCACAGCAGACGCATGAGTGCTAGCAGTTGTTTTAGCACCTCATTAGTTATGATGTGATGGCAGAAGTTATATTCTGTCACGTCTAGTAAGCAGTAAGTTGGACAAGGGGCGGGAAAGAGTAGCCTGCTTGCAGGTCCCAGGATGGGCGGTTCTTCTACAGGAGCAAGTGACATGGACGTTGGCTGAAGAAGTTGTTGGATTTGTGGATGTTATTTTCTTTCTTTTTTTTTTTTTTTTTTAACAAACTTAAGTAAGCAAGAATGTGTGGATTAGCTCCTCTCCAGCCTTCATTACACAGAGTGGATGGCAACTCTACTTTCAAAGATTGAGATGTATTTATTCTCTAATTATGCATTCATCACCATGAGAAAAATTATTAATTGCAGCATTGTTCTTCTGTGCAGAGTACTCCAAGAGAAGGGAGATGGATACCATGCACAGTGAGGGCTTTTTCTGGTTGCTGTTGTTTAATACCTACTCATTAGAGAGCTTTACACATGATTTGTAGACCTCTTCAGCTGAGGCTACTGTTCTTCAAAGGCACCAGTCCAAAGTTAATTGTTTATTGTCAGAACAACTTAGAGTGGGTTTATTCTGTCTTGTATGTCTTCCAGTCCTTAGCTTTACTGATGTCAAGGCAGCTTCTCACCAGTGTCTGAACTCTGTTTTCCTTTCGTGACCTGTTTGCAAGCAAATGTTGTGAGTCAGTCACAGGTTTATGTGATAACACTGAATTATTCTAAAAAGGTTGCTCCAGTCTGCTTGTTAGGTACTAATGTATTTTGAGTGTGTATTTAAAATATGTGTCTGCTTAATGGTCTGCAACAGTTTGGGGAGTGTAGTGCTTATCTCTGGGTTGCAAAAATTATTCAGTAGCTTAAAAGAGAGACAGTATCAACAAACACCTTCCTCCTCAACATCGTTCAATCTCCAGTGTTATAGGAAGAAACCACTCTGGGAGATGACTACCAAGAACCTGGAAAGTGAGTGTGTGTCAGCTGTGTGAGAAGGGAGAGGGGATTCTAGTCTACTTTTAGGTGTTGTTTTTTAAAAATGAGAAAAACATGTTAGCTTAGTGAAATGAAGGCAATTGGAAACAGTGCAAATACCTAGAGGAAGTAGTTCATTCGCACACCAGCACCATGAAAGATGCCATACAAAGGATTGTTAGAGGTGGGTCAAGGAGGACTGTTGTGGGTGTCTGCAAGCACACATTTCCCAGCCTGGTGGAGGGTTTCTGGTGGGGTGAGGCAGCACAGCAGGAGTTGCAATGCTCAGCAAAAACATCTCTGCTAGCCTGTTTTTTCACGTGAGACCAAAGAGTTATCCAGTCTGCATCCGTGTGTCCCCGCTAATGACTTTTGAACTCATTTACTGATTTCATCTGAACTTGAAAAGAACATAAAGATCTCAAGGATCAGTAAGTTCCCACAGGTTTCAAGAGGTGTCCAATTATTTCTGAGGCAAGGATCCAAACTCTAGAAAATCGATATAGAAAGGGGGGAGAACACATAAATGCCCAATTATCTCAAATACTTCTACTGGAACTTCATCCTCAGACACCAAAGGCAATGATAAAAGGCAAATGCATAGGAAACCAGGCTTCATTATCTTCATTAGACTGCAGAAATAATCAGAAGTGCTTGTTCAATTTTGGGTGGTTAAACAGCCATGGGAGAAGTTTGGTTACTGAAAGAGCAGTAAGATGTGGGAAATGCGTGGGGACAGTGGACGCTGGCTCAAGCAGAGCTATTGCTAGACCAGACTTATTGAGAAGCCTGTGCAATGGGATGTCCAAAACCAAATGACCTCATTGCCCTCAAATAGAGACAGTTACGAAGGAAGGTGCAACTGTCCAAATAGTTGGAAATTTGGACCCTTAGAACAAAAGCGAGTCTGGATAGCTGAGATAGCAGATGAGCTAATGATTAGTTTGGCTTTCATTATGACTGGTAACTTTGTCTTAAATGCCAGGAACAATCTATGGAAACTCCCTTTTTAAGATGTATCTTGGATTAAACAAATGATTTGTAGGCACTTAGTTGCTGTGATCAAATTGTCCAGGGACAGATAGCATAACAGCTATACTCTGTAGGAGTTTTCCAGCAAAGAAAATATAGGAATGACTGAAACATGTTCAGAGATCGAACACTTTGCCGTGGATTTTAGCTGTGTGAGCTCACGTTGGTCTGCAGCAGAAACAGAACCTGACCATCTTCCAAATCTTTGTTTCTGACAACTGGCCTGTAGCAGAGAGGAGCTCCATAGCAGCCTGATTGAACCAGAGAATCAAGGAAATACCAATACAGGCAGAGAGACAACAGTTTTTCCATGGTTTCCATCAAAATGATCTGGTGCAGAGCTGTGCACATAGCTGCGGAGTGGCAAAACCATCTCAGAAAGCCTGCACTTTGGTTGAGGCAGTGATTCATCCAGTCCCTGCATCAGCCAGCACTAGTCAAGGAGTTTCATAGTGCAGCAGAAGTAGCAAGCCATGGGGAGCAAGGTGAATTAGTTCAGGCCATGATAGTTTGGGTAAGAGGCTGCTGGATCTGCTCTGGGCAGCTTGGAGCAGGAACAGAGCAGGGCCCAAAATAAAATAACATCATAAAAAACATCCCCTCAGTAAGACATCTCTCAGTGCTGCTAGGGATGGCAATAGCACAAATATTATAGTGTCTTGAAAAGGTGATGAGGTACTGCAGACAAAGCTTCCATTTCCTTTACAGGAATTAGATCATTGCTCAGGAGGTGCCACTGAAAGGGATCTTTGAGCGCTGCCACTGTGACTCGAATGGAGTGTTGTTGATGATGCTTGTATTTATGGTCAGGATTCACTCTGGACCTATTTTCTTTTAGTAAATAGTTTCCTCGTTCCAAAAATGAGGTTTCCATCACTCCAAAGGTAATCACAGATGGGAAACAAATTTGTCAAGTCATTTTTTCAAATAGTTCCAGCAAAGGAAAGAATTGGAGTGAAATCGCTGATGCCTTTGGTGTAGGCTTTGTCACTGAGCTGGTTATTGAAGGAAGAGACCACAGATGAGATATTTCAAGGTTTATCCTTCAGCTTCTTTTTTCTTACAATTACTCAAATTACCTCTTATTTTTTTACTGTGTCAAGAAGAGAGGACTATGTTGTCTTTGTTCAGCTCTTTTTCCAAGCAGGTTTTGGTTCAGCAGCTAAACTGGGTAATGAGCTGCTTGCCCAGTCCTAGCAGGAGAGAACATGTCTCCATGCAGTGGTTCCCCAGACCTGCATATATGGAGAGGGAGCTCACCGGGGAGCTGGAGCAAGCATGGTGCTCCTGTCCCACGGTGCCAGGCAAGCCCAAGCTTGCGTGCACCAATGGCATGGCCCTGTGCAGACTGGTTTGTTGGGAGAATAAGTGTAAGCCTGCCCTACCTGAGCAAGCAAAGAAGTAGGTGCTCAGGGGAACGTGTCCAAAGGAGATGGGGGTTCATATTGCCATGAGTTGTCCAATGTGCAAGAATACCTCATTTTGCTGCTGATGGAGTGGGTATACTGTCACCAAAATGGCTCCGGAGTCCCCAGGGGACTCCCTAAAGGGAGCCCCTCTTACCTGCATGATGCGTGGGTAGAATTGGTTTGATCACATTGGGAAAAATTGACATTTAAAGGTGACCTGCATTTAGGTGATGGGGATGAATCAAAGGATTCTGGGGGCAGTTATCAACAGGTAGAAAAAGATAGTGCTTAAAAAAAAAGAAGAAAATAAGTTCTGGTGTGGACATAATGAATGGGATCCCTGCCATGTGACTGACAGGAAATGAGAAAAATAAAAATATCTGGAGGGATTTATGTGGCACTAAAATAGCTTTGCTTTTTACCGTGACTGGTTAGGATGAGCTACGGATCATGGCACTGCCTTAGGCTCCATGGAGGTGGTGAATAAAGCTGGGATGGAAGTGTTACCAGAGGTTGATCTGCCCACAGCTTCAAGCTGGTTCTCTCACTGTGTTGTGAACCCAAACAGTTCCCACCCACTGGCTCATACTGGCTGCACCCTCCTGTCCCCTTGTGGTACTGGGGAAACAGCTGTCTGCAGGTCCATGTTGTG